TATATATATTATATTTAAATAAATATATTATTATTTAAAAAATATTATCGACCTTCCAATAAATATATAATAAATAAATATATATATATATTTTATATGATCTTTCCTGATCATAAATTAAAATTAAAAAAACATTGTTAAAATTTGTTATTTTTCCCATATAAAATTATAGGGCCTTCAAATTTTTAGGTGCAAAATTAAATAACAAATTTAATGAGTAATTTATCAAATAATCAAATATATGGTAATAGAATATATTCCCATTATATAAAATTTATGTTTATAAGAAATTTTCGAAACCCTTTATATATGGAAATGACCTGCGGCAAAAATCACAGACATCTGCCGTCTGCGATCTGTGCGCTAGCAGCTTTGCTGAGGCACAGCTGAGAAAGGGAATCCAACAACTCCCCAGACTGGCCAGGTTGCTTCCTGTCCTGCAAATAATTTGAAGATATTAAAACTAACAAAAAGGTATGACCTCAGCCTCCCCAAAAGGAGGTGCTTTGAACCTTTCGCCAACAAAATCATTGCCGCTTCAGCCATAGCTTGGTAGCTGAAACACACCTGGTGGGTCTGAATTAAACAAGTTCACCGTCTCGACTCAACGGACTGCCCCAGTGCTGCCCATGCGTGGCAGGCGTGGCAGCAGGAGCTATGTACAGCTGCGTGTCAGGCTGGCTCGACTTGGTCAATCCTTCAGTTTCGTCTCTTTCTTCTTCGACCTCGGAAATTCATCAGAAATGGATCAGACTGATGCAATCTTGGAGAGCTGTTGGTGTTTTTTCGGCTGAGAGCAGAAGAATCTTCCCTGGCTGATGGCTTGCTGTTAAGGCTTCCTACAACGTTCCGGGCCGTTCCGGGCCAACCATGTCTCATAAATCTGAAAGACACCTCTTGGGGTTTGTTCCCCACACCATCTTTGACAGAAAGGTCATTGTCAGTCGGTCATACTCTTGTCCAGGACTTTTCCCAGCAACAAGAAACAGGCAGCGAAGAAATCTGAGTGCCCATGCAGCATGCCCATTAGAACCTCAGTGAATGAACCAGTCACGCCATTTCGGGAGCACCCTGTCGAAGAACCCCAATCTGCCCAAAATTGAGATTGTCTGATCCCCAGTATGGTATGAATATAAACTGACATGAAATGACATGAAATGGTATGAAGTGATATGGATAAAGGGGATCATGAAAACTTAATCTTAAGTAAACCATTCCCATTTTGTGTCAAATATATTCCTTTCAGTATAGCCAGCCCTCTCTAGGCGGGCAATTGACGGTAGGATCATAACAGTTCATAACATGGCAAACGATGTGTATAGCCCACTTGGAGTGGTAGCAGTGATGACCACAGAAATTGTATATCATGCGGTTTCCCACTTGTATAAGTATAGATATACGTATGGGTTTGTCTGAACATAGGGAACCCCAAATACCATGGTATACCATGGTTTATCATCATTCTCCCTACAAAGATTGTCATCTTGGTGTTTACCGACTTTTTTTTAACAAACCATGAACAATATCAAACAAAATCAAAAATATGGTTGGCTGTGGTCCCTAGATCTCACCCACCATCCGCCAAAGATTTCATCAAAGTTGCATCGAAAGTCCAGTAAAAGTTCAGTCCACACAGGATTACCTGTGAACCAACCTCGGCCACCGTGGCATCAAGTGCTCTTGCCAAAAGCAGGGGTAAATATGTTTAGGTTTTTTTAACATGAAACATCGGGGTTAGAAACGTATTTTCTCCAACAGTGAAATTTTGGGTATCCATGGGTAATTATTATCCCATATCCAACATTTTGTGGAACCCAACTGCTCTTGTGAATCGCTGGTGACCCCGGAATCCCAACCTGCACAAGACATGGCAGAAACCCATGTAAGTCTTGACGTGACAAGGGGAACTTCTTGTTATCCACCTTCAACAACTTTGAAAATTGCTGACTTCATGATCTTCATCTTCATCCTCATCCCAACCTCTTACCTTTCATACTTTCCACCAATGAGTGCCCCAAGATGCAGCGCTTCACAGCCGTGGCCTTTTTCCAATTCCACACCCAGCTCCAACAGCTTCCGCTTCCGCTGGCTGGGCAACGTGCCCTTGCAAGCCTTCAGCTTCTGGGAGTACAACCAACGTCCAAGGTGGCCCGGGATCTGCCTCGTCGTGTGGGGAGAGATACAGTAGGACTCAACAAAAAAAGGCGCCCTTGAACACATGGCTTTTCTGAAAGAGGCCATCAAATTGTATGTTTGATCGCAATTCCAAGAACGAACTTTCTGAATTGACAACGAAGCCATCGCAGCCACAAAACCTGGTAACAGCAGAAAAGATCCAAACAATGGCCCAAACACCAAACCTCTTAAAGACTCCTCTATCATATTCTCACTGCTGACCCGTAGAGGGAGTTCAATCATACAGAGTGATATTATGACAGACCCCCAAAAAATATGGTATGTATGGTGGCAATAGAGACCAACATGTTAAAAAACAGGTTGGTTAAACATCATGGTGTCGTCTTTCCAACTCCCAACAGCCCCAACAGACACGATGATCATAGTGCCAAATATCTGGGTCAAGCGCCAAATCTGGGGGCCAAGCTGCTGAGAGCCCTGAAAAGTCGCAGCTACCTCGACATGTCCTTCCAGCTCCTTGAAGCGACTCAGGGCTCTGAAGTGGCACTGCCAGTTGGCCTGCGACAGGAGGTGGGGTTGATGCTGTTGGTTATGGGGAAAAAACCACCAGCAAATGGCAATCTTGCGGGGGAATATGAGGTTGTAACCATTTGGAAACCAATGGATGAAATGTCATGAATGTGGTTTTCTCAAAATTCTCCAACACACCCAAGTCTGCTTTTCCAGGCTTGTCCTCCATGTCTTTCTTGGTGAACTATCTGCAGTTTCTTGTCGCTCGCTAGACAAGCTACACAAATTGCCTCCTTCTCAGACCGTCATGGGTGGTGAATGGGTAACCTCCTCCTGACTCTTGCTGAAAACTTGTGGAATAGGTGATCTGAGTTTGACAGCCTGACAGCCCACAAAATGGGATGGTGGATACCAAAAATGCACAAACAATATCAAACCACATTTTTTCTGGGTCATATTCTTGGTCGCATAGACTGCTCATTATCAGTCTGATTATCAGTGAACATCTTCCCCGAGTCCTACCCGCTGGTAAACTAACATAGCTATAGACATGGACCATTTATGATTGATTTACCTATAGAAAATGATAATTTTCCATAGTTATGTTACATTGTTATGTTAATGTCATAATGTACCAGAGGGTACCAGTCCCCAATGGCCTCCTCCTCTTCCATCTCGACTCCCATCCGAAGCAGCTGCTGCTTCTGCTTTGGCAGCAGCCCTCCATGCAGCGCACGGCGGCGTTGGGAGTTCAACCAAGAGCCCAATGCCAGAGCTCCTTCCACGTGATCTGCGGGCACCTGGCTCCATGGCAGGATGGCTATCTTCATCACCCAAGTGTCAAGCTGAAGCACCGGGACAAAATATCGCTTTTCCAAGAGTATATTCCACAATTCTGCGGAAAACACACCCAGACCTTCAAAAAAAATAGCGGCACATAACAGCAGAAAATAACCAGACATAACATGTTAGATATCATTAGATTAGATACCCTACAATCTACAATGTGGGGCCCCCCAGTTATAAATTGGTTTATAAACCCCATTAAGTATAGTTACAAATATCATAAACCATAGTTATTGGAGTTATAAACAAACTTAAGATATCCATAGATCCTAAGATCATTGATCCCACCCCCAGCCCCTTTTTTTCGCATCCCAGGAACATCTGTATGACCTTCGCGCCCTACGAAGCGCTGCAAGGCTTCAACGTAGTCCTCCCACTGCGCACTACGCTGCTGCAAGGAGACGCCCAGGGCCTGGAGTTGCTCTACACCTGGGCCGTGGAGTATATGTGACATATCTCATTATTAGAGATTTCATTATTATTATTAGTAGTATTATTGTGAGTTAATATTATTATTGCCTATGATTTATTATCATTGTGATTATTATTATCATTATTATAATGTTGATGGAGATGTCGGTAAAAACAAACGTTATTTAAATGATGATAGTACAGCATAAAAAAATGACGATCGTAGATTAATACTTTTAACATATTATATTTTTAAAATCATAATTAGTGCAAAAGTATATCATGATTCTCGATGGTAAAATTGTGATTTATCATAATGATATGATGTTAGCAAGAATAAATACCAATAACTACCAGGTATATACGTGCTTGCTGATTATTGCAAAAACACCTTTACTACATTTTACTACTACATGTTTACTAGCACCATCACGATCATCATTGTCATGATGATGGTGATGATGATGATGATGATGATGATGATATTCTTGTCAGCAATAGTGCGCATCATTAATGCTACCATTGCCATGCTACCATGATTAATAGATTGTTGTAATGATCGTTCTCATCATCATGAAAGTTCTCTGATGTGTTTTCCTTCCTTTAAAAAGAAAACAACTCCCAGTAACCATCATGATAGTGATGCGCCCAGGCATATTATGCAAAATGTTAGGTATAGGTATAAGGTTCATTTTGAAATAGTTGCGACATGCTATATTAATATATATATATATATTCCTCAATGTAAGACAAACACAAATTCACCTGTAGAGTGCTATACCGCTACAATGGAAGGACTTCTTGTGATTGTCCAGCTGCAATCAAACGTCTCACAGTGCGACGTGTATGTCACTATTTACAGATGTACATATATACTAATATATATATATATATGCACTATATATAATATATATTATATAATATATATATATATACATACATACATACATACATGCATGCATGCATACATACATATATATATATATCAGTATAATTCAGTATATATGTATAGTACATATGTGTATATAATATAGTATATATATAGTATTAGTATGGGCTATCTATCCAGTTTTGCAATACAGTGTCCATTGCTGAATGATGGGGTTTGACATGATTCGAATACCGACTTATGCATCTCAAACTGGTTGTCCAACGACCAGTTCCAAGACTTACTTCAACTAACGTTCCCATCTGGGATTGGCTAAAACTTGTGACAACTCACACGTGGATCAGCGAAAAACTGCCCCAAAAATCCTGATTTCGGGGTCCTAATCCAAAAAAACTATCACCCCATTGATCAAAATCACAGATTTTCAATGATTTTGCAGATAGATTCGGTTTTTTGTCACCATCTCCACAGGTGGCCGATGGTTTTTCCATCACTGAGGCACGTTCTGGCGCCAGCTTCCCCAACTTCCAGCGCGAGCGCTGCGCGTCCAACCAGCTTCCCAGGAGCTCATCACCTTCTACGCAACGTCCGGGAACGTCACTGTGACCTGACCATGGCGCACAATGGCGCGGGATGCGATGCGACCGTCAAACTTCAATGAATTCAGCTGGGATCACTTTGCAAGTACGTCATTTTACACCATTTTTCCATAGGCTTTGGAGAAAAAAGAAACTCATGTACAAACGTCAAAGAACACGCACACATCGAAATTCCCACTCTATCATTGGTTCAACGTTCCTTCATGTTCACAGTATTTTTGCCCCACCTTCCCGTTGAATGAAGGTTTGCAGTGCGAGCACTTTTCCTTGCCATCTCTCCTCACGGCTCTTCCCAGGTTCCAGGTTGACTCCAAGCTTCTCCAGTAACTGCTGGTGGCTTTTAGGCAGCTTACCCTGCTTGCACTTGGCGCGTTGTCTCTTCAGCCAAGTGCTGGAAGCCTCATGTGGGGAGCTGCGGAGATGGCTATACATCTCTACATGGAAGTCGAGGTGAAAGGATAGGCTTCACATATCTGAACGATTTGGGATCTATATTCCGTAAATAGTATGGGTCGTTGTTTGATGACACTATACCGACTATACCATACTATACCAACATTTGGACCTATAGGCTGGGAATCTGATTTCATCCTTTGTCAAGCTGCGTTTCGCTACAGCGCGCCTCAACGTCAGCCCCTCTCTCGCGGGAATAGAACGCGAGCAGCTGTTTGTAGTTCTTTCTGAAGTCCTCTGGGATGCTTGGGGCGACTGGAGCCGCAATAGGGAAATCCTTTCAATGTAGGATTCAACAAAGACTAGAGTCTCCATCACACGCCTTTGTTTCAATCACATGCTGTTTGATATTTTATGATATTTATATTATTTTTATAGTATAATTAATCATGTATAATATAGGATATCGCCAAATATCAATTGATATCTCAATCCATCGACACCGGATCTGCCCGGTCCTCATCTTTCTCTAGCAACTTGCCATCCAAAGTTTCTTCGAAGGAAACCCCCAACTCCGCCAACCGGTCAAAGCGTTCCGCCTCCAAGCGGCCTTGTTGCGCATCGTCCACCTGATCTCATACCCAGTCCCTGTTGATGGGGGGATTCGTATGGCTTTCCTATGATGTTCGGGTTCGAACCTTGCACAGTCCCTGCTGATTGGTGATTTCGCTTCAATCCTTGGGGGATTCCCAGCATGCCCACCTGTCTGTGCAGCCACGCTCCCAGTGCCACTCCCGCTTCCACGTGGCCGGATGGAATCGCCAGATGGCCGTCACGGAGCTTGACGGCTGACAGAAGGTCGGCCTTGAAAGTCCAATCCGAGAAAGTGGACGACACACCTGAGACACTCAGAAACTGATGGCCCCTGGGAATATCATAAAACTACGAAGATGGTGTATATGTATGCCTGTATGTGTTGGTATGATGATATATGTATATTTTAATTTACATACATTTATATATGAATATATATATATATACGTATATAATCATGGTTATATTTAGCTAGGATTCTAGGATTATATGTATGTATATATGTATATATATTTATAGATGGATATCAATGCAATATTAGAGACCTCTCAAGCAACAAACGCCCTCTTAAATTGATTGAAACCACGCTTCAAGATTTTGCCTAAATCTTGTAGGATCTTGCAGGTGAATGCAGGTGATGTCTACATTACACAAATCATGAAACATCATAAACCCATCCTGAAGCAAATTGAACACATCACAACATATCAAAACTAAAATCACATTGAATGAGAACGAATGAGCGGATAATGCATGATATAGAGATGCATAGAGGATATACACCAGCAAATCCCAGCACAAGTTTAGACATTCACCCAGTGGCTTGCGCTTACAATCTTCAGTACGTGGGCAAGCACCCGTCGCGGGATGACGCAGCCATCGCTCACCAGGTCCCGAATTTCCGGAGGCCATTCCTGCGAAGGCAGGTCCTTGTTGAGGGCCACTGAAAGAAGAACCACTTGTCTCAGACTTTGAATCATCAAGGGATCTTCGGCAACTAGAGCGGCCAGCACCAAAATCAGCAAGATCTCACTGGCTTGGGTCTTGTCGTGAAGAACTAAGATGGATCCATAGTCGTGTGATGGTTGGTCTGAAAGTTTACTGACGAGGCCAATCATTCTGCCAACATGCAAGCTGCTAATCTTCCCAGGAGCAGCAAATGCTGCCTCAACAGCAGGCGCACTTCGATTTTCCAGGATGATATATACGCTGCTGACTGCCACCGACTCTTCAGCAGCAAAGAGCTCCGAATAGCCATACCGATACCTTTCCGAGGTGTTCATTTTAGCGTGTATAAAAACAGGCTTCACTTTGTTTCCTGCTTCACACAAGCCACCCAGCGAAGCATTCAACTCCTGAGCAGCCTCGTTTTTGGGAAGGAAAGCGTACAGGCTCTGTGCTGGATATCTTTGCAGGAAAGATATGATCGCCTCCGCCTGGTGCTTGGGGCTTCTAGCCCTGAAGTTCCTCCCTAGCTCAGCCGCTGTCCAAGGCCAAATCTTGACTGGACGCAGAAGGCCCCGTTGCACAGCAGCCGATCTTGGCAAATGAAATGCAACTGGGCCGCAATCTAAAGACTTGGCGATGTCAGAATGAAGCCCTCCGTATTTCGGCACTTTCTTGGTCGGCCACTGGCAACAAATCCCTGCACTTGACAAACACAGCCTGTGACGAACTGGCAGATACTCATCGTCAAACATGCCATGCAAGGGTCGTTTGCTCAATCGATTGAATGCAGTGCTCAAGAAATTGTCGTCAATCATCACATCGACTCCCAAATCTTGCGTTTCTTCCAATACTGACTTGAAAAGGTCATAGTATTGGCCAAACAAAATGACAACCTTGCGGCGACTTTCACCCTTCAAGAAATTTACAAGTTCTTCGCGTCTGTTGGCAAGCTCAGAACCATCCTCTGTTGTTACACTGCCAGGGTCTCCCTTCCAGTTGGGACCCAAAATCGAATTTCGCTTATTCAAACAGAACATTGCCAGGCCGTCAATTGCCGCAGCAGACCATGTGGCATTAGCATCGTCAGGATGATCCGTAACAACCACAATTAGCTGCAGAGTCATTCCGAGGCGAAGCATGGCCTTCAAGACCTCTATGCCAACTTGTGGCAAGCCAGTATGCTCGGGCATCATGACAGTAGCCCTGGCACTTTCTTGCTTCATCCAGGTTTGTAACACCATATTGGCTGCGTATTGGTGAATCGATTCCAAGCTATTTGGAATGGCATCATAGGCGGAAAATTCGGTGAATGACACGGGTTGCAGTACTTGGCGAGCCAAGTGCAATGGGACTGACTGCTCAGCCAAATCAGTCCAAATGTGCGACTCCTTCTCCATTTCTGTCCTAAGTAAAAAGCAGGGCCGCACGTGACAATGGAAATTCAAAAAAACGTATTGCAGACATGCAATGTATTCCATGATATACTATACTTGTTCAATGTCATGAACATATGCTTTTATTTGGGATAGAGACACCGGTGGGTTTTGCCACATCATTGGTTTTCCTTTACTTCGACCAGTTTGAGGGATTTGGATATATCCTATGACATCCCCAATTTCGACGCTATGCCAAGTGTCATGACCTCTTTGACCTCATCAGGAGAGAAGCGACGCCACTCTTCTCCACCATCCAAATCCTGGGACTGGGGAGCATCTGGCCGGTCAAACACGTCCGGTCTGGGCAACATCAAACTGACTGACCTCGGGGAAAAGAAGGTTGATTCATGTTAATTCATGTTAATTCCTGATTGGGAGCTCGAACATGTGAGGCTCTTGCCAAACCTTTTACGACGCAGGGATCCATCACCTGTGCTCCAGAAGGCTGATCTCAGACCATGCGGGGAATCCCGGAAGCCCCCAACAACGTTGCAACGTTGGAAGAGGAGATCTATGGAGATCTGTTTGGCAAACCATCACTACAAACTACAAATTTGTTAAAGTGAATCTCTGTGCACGTCAAATCAGGGTGATATGCCACCAAGAGTCATCACTCCTGGGAAAGGCCTTCAGAATCCTCGCTTCTGCTGCACGCCAGTCAGGGACCGCAACCTCTTGCAACACCTCCAGGGCATTGAATTTCTCCAGTCCCTCGAAAAATACCACAGAGTTCATGATCATCATATTTGGTATACTAAAACAAATAGTATTATCTAATACTAAATAATTTGGTTGTGAATATTTAGTTTACTCTACAGTACAGTAGTTTTGCTCTTCTCCCATCAACGTCATCACCTCTGGCCGAAAGGGCTGCGAGGTGACGTAGGCTCGCAAGCGCTGCTGCATGTCCCGCGTGCCACCGATTTTGTAGTAGGGGCTGCGACTGGCTGGCTGTCCATCAGGGGAATATCTCAAGCACAGCAGGTAGATAAAGCCTGAGACTGTTGGGATAAACCACGACAAACCCATTGGAGAAACCGCAGCGTTGCTTTTTCGGATGGATGGATGGATGGGTGGTTGGACTTGGATAGGGTTGTGAGACAAACTTCAATGCACGGCAAAACCGATTTGTTTTGCGTCCTTTTGTTTTTTAAAGTCATTCTTACACTATCCAACATTCCACCAACATGCCTGCATCTTCCATCAACATCCGGAAACTGCTTGTTGTACTCATCTTTTGTCATTATCTTAATCCCCAAGAAACACCCGAGTGACTGACCTGGATCAAGCTGCCCAACCCCCAGCTCCCCCACAGCCGCCCCAGCCTCGACTGCAAAGCGTTTGAATTCCTCCGCGCACCATGGCAATCTCATCCTTTTTCCTGGGGAGAAACTGTGGGAGTCCCTTGGAAAGCACCGGTGGTGAGATGAGCGATGCCAAAAGTTGGCACATTCCTTAGCCACCATTATCATCATTGTCATCCATTACTGTCACATATTTTTTCACTATCCCTGTCAGTCACTGTCACCATTACAATTGCCATCCCCAAATTAAAATAGATCGGGGAACAAAAATAAATGTTAGTAGAAACTCATCTTCCAACCCCCCATTTGGCAGGGTCTGTGTAGTTTGTTGGGAGGGTGAAGGGCAATATCAGTATGCTTGTCATCCCTTCACTGGTTGGTAATCTCAACCACCCTCAGGCAGATCTCAGCCAGTCACTGCCAGCAACCAATCTCCATCGAAATTTCCACTAACATCTGGTTATGACTAACATAGCCATGGAAAATCACTATTTTTAATAGGTAAACCATCTATAAATGGGCCATTTTCCATGGCTATGTTAATGTTAAATAACCAGAGGGTAACATCCACTAACAAAAATACCTGGTTCATCTGGGATTTGCAAATCCGATCAAATCCGCTGTACCTAACAGAACTCTCCAATAGATTCATCAAGGGAACATCAACCAGCCAAATGCCCAACTCCTGACTGTTGGACTATCAAGGCTTATCTGGACGCTCTGAAATTCCAGGTTTAGAAGGTTAGAACACATGGGATTTGGAGATGGCACATTTCGGAAAACATATCCACATCAAAGCATCAAAGTAATCATCAAAATACAGTTTTATCATATCCGCCGACCCCGGCCGATGCAAGGGGGAGCGCGTAAGGGAAGAAGATGGAAATTAGGTGGTGTTTTGCTGTTTCGGAAGCGTTTCGAAACAGTAGGCCCAGCCATAATATTGTTTAGGCGATTCTGGGGGATTCGGCCGAAACAGCTGGCCCAGCTACGGGAGATTCTGGGGGATTCGGCTGAAACAGTTGGCCCAGCTAGGATTCTCGAAGTAGGATCTAAACTAGGATCTAGATCTAGATCTAGGATTCTCTAGGATTTCAGCAGGGACGTTAGGCAGGTTTCTGTAATATTGTTTAGGCGATTCTAGGGATTCGGCCGAAACAGCTGGCCTAGCTACCGGAGATTCTGAGGGATTCGGCTGAAACGGCTGGCCCAGCTAGGATTCTCGAACTAGGACCAAAACTAGGATCTGGATCTAGATCTAGGATCTGGATCTAGATCTAGGATTCTCTAGGATTTCAGAAGGGACGTTAGGTAGTTTTCTGCCGCGATTTTTCGTTATTTTCGGCACGAAATTAGGTGGTGTTTTGCTGTTTCGGAACCGCTTCGAAACAGCAGGCCTAGCTGTAATATTGTTTAGGAGATTCTGGGGGATTCGGCCGAAGCAGCTGGCCTAGCAAGGATTCCCGAAGCCGCGATTTTTCGTTATTTTCGGCACGAAATTAGGTGGTGTTTTGCTGTTTCGGAACCGCTTCGAAACAGCAGGCCTAGCTGTAATATGTTTAGGAGATTCTGGGGGATTCGGCCGAAGCAGCTGGCCTAGCAAGGATTCCCGAACTAGGATCTAGATCTAGGATAGATCTAGAGATCTAGATCTAGGATTCTCTAGGATTTCAGAAGGGACGTTAGGCACTTTTTTGGCGTGGTTTTGGAACTAGTTCGTCCTTCAGAGCCATGGTGTTTTCCTGCCGGGAGCTGCTTTTATGCTTTTTTCGATGTTGTTTTCGGAAGAAGGTTGTTTTTCTAGGATTTCAGAAGGGACGTTAGGCACTTTTTTTGCGTGGTTTTGGAACTAGTTCATCCTTCAGAGCCATGGTGTTTTCCTGCCGGGAGCTGCTTTTATGTTTTTTTCGAAGTTGTTTTCCTGCGAGCGGGCGCAGGCAACAGAAATTCTCGAAAAATGTTGTTTTTCTAGGATTTCAGACGGGATGTTAGGCACTTTTTTGGCGTGGTTTTGGAACTAGTTCGTCCTTCAGAGCCATGGTGTTTTCCTGCCGGGAGCTGCTTTTTTCGAAGTTGTTTTCCTGCGAGCGGCCGCAGGCAACAGAAATTCTCGAAAAAGGTTGTTTTATGTTGTTTTATGTTGTTTTTCTATGTTGTTTTATGTTGTTTTTCTAGGATTTCAGAAGAGACGTTAGGCACTTTTTTGGCATGGTTTTGGAACTAGTTCGTCCTTCAGAGCCATGGTGTTTTCCTGCCGGGAGCTGCTTTTATGTTTTTTTCGAAGTTGTTTTCCTGCGAGCGGGCGCAGGCAACAGAAATTCTCGAAAAAGG